AAACAGCAAACAATTCAAAATTTAAAGTCAGGTAATCTAAGTCCATTAAAACATAAATTAAAGCAATGAATAGTTTTGAATTGGTATTCTTAAATATTTAAAAATTATGCTGGTTTTGATAAAAAAAAATCAAATCAATCTATTTTCCAATCTGTTCATTTCGATGCTACGTATTTTCATTGTTATAATAATTTTTAAAGACCTAGTTAGTTAATATCAGAGAACAATTATAATATACTTTTTGTTTAAATTTTAAAGCACTCATTTAAAGCACTTTTTAAAAGTCATCAAACTGTGGATAGAAAAATTAATATTCATTTATTTTGAGGCAAAAACTGTAGTGTTTATACATAAATCATATAGGGAATGTCTATTTATTAATATTTAAATAAAACAAACTGTTTAAAAAATTAAGGGATTGCTTATGCTTTTATTACCACTGTACTGAGTCGACGGATTCGTCGACATGGTCGTGCCTTTCAGTTCGAAACGTGATCGATAGACGGACTACCACTGGCAGTCCGTCGAGAACTGCAAATTGGCCTCTTGCCGTTTGCTGTTGCCAAATGTTTGGCCTTAGTCAAATTATGTTCTTTGGGCCGTTTGATAATGAAACTGCAAATTGAAGTTGGGCTTTTGGCTGCGGGACTCTGTGGCTCTCTGGCCCCTCAAATTGTTTGCTCACACCGTCCCGGAGCCACGCTAATGATTACGTGTTATCGTGTTGTAATTTTACACAGTTCCCTAATGATGAGTCTCGGATCGGATCGGTTAGGATAGGATAGTATAGGATGGGATAGGGAGATCTGCCCTGCCTCCACATTCACATTCACATCCATCTCCATCTGCGATCGAATCGAATCGATCTGGCTCCGGGTTAGACACTAACTGGGCTCATCATGGAGCGTTAACAAGCTCATTTTTCTAAACTTGACGTGCTGAGTCCACCAACCATCCAACTAGAGATCCACTTAGGCAAAAGATCTTCGCAGATTATCGGACGCAGCGACTTGGCCAATTTACTTGGCCGCTTTCGGACGTTTTCAACGGTGGGATCATAAATTGCTTATAATGGCATTCAGCGCGTTATGTCCTGCCTAGAATCGATATATGATGGCTTTAACATGTGTAATATGTTTAAAAAGTAAACGAAATATCAATTCATTTTAGCATACCTCAAATACGGAGCTACCTAAAATGTGGATCTACTTAAAGTTTACTTAGTTTAAAGAGGGACTCATATATATGTCATTAATAACTAAGCCAACACAAGTCGCACAGCCAAAAGAATGACTGTTTTGTGTAGCTGAGGACCTAAACTATCAATTCTAGGTGGATTTGTAAAAATATACTTTCTGACCAATTTTTGTATTTTTCAAAAATAGGTAATAATTACATTTTTTTAGCTGTGAATACCAATCGATTGGAAAATTTATAACGAACTCAACGAGGTATGACATTCCGACATTTGACAACTATTTCCAAGGTTTTCGATCAAAAAGCGTAACAAAAATAGATTTTTTCCGGATTTTGACATTTTTTTGATTTTTGCGAAAGAACAAAATTAGATTTTTAAGCTGTGAATGCCAATCGATTGGAAACTTTGTTCAACGAAGTAGTCAACATTTGACTATTATTTCACAGGGTTTTCAAAGATTTTCGAATCCATTTCACTTCAACCCAAAAAGTATGCAACAGAATATAAAAGATAGATTTGAAACCAGCACCCACCCACGAGAAATCTGGATGGGCTGCCATAACCAGCATTGATTGCGTATGGACCACAATAGTAAACAGAAATTCATTGAATGCCAGCCAAAACAAAACGTTTTCCAGCTAAATCAGATGATGGGTGAGGAAAAGGGAGAGGAGTCCACGAAGATCTTGGGAGCATATTAAATTGAATTTTTATGTTCTCACAGGCCGGGAAAATCATGTGCCAGGCCATAAAAGTCAGGGATCGGTTCGGTTCAGATCGGTGCACTTCGGATCCGCTGAGTGTGTGGGTTAATAAATAGCCCCAGAAGCAGCGAGTGCAGGGGCGAAGCGGGCTAAGAGCGGCCCTGGATGGTGCGGTAAATTATGGTTATTTAAATAAACAGCACACGATTTGATTTGGCGGCCCAAAAGTGTTGCCAGCGCGCCTCCGAAATTGGAAGAGCGACGCGTCGACGTCTGGAAATTATGTTGTAGTTGGCCCGATCGGGCATCAGGATAGTTGCCCCGATGATAATGATGATGATGATGCCGCAGTGGCCGACGGAAAGGGGGTTGTGCCATCAACTCTTGATTGAGTAACGCCCCAGAACTGGCGTCTAATTACGAGTTCCAGGAGTTGGCGGACTTGCAGGGCCGATCTGGCCGCATCATTAGCTGATGTGCGGTATTGACCCGGCCTAATCGGCGATAAGACTCGTGATAAGCAAACACGCAAAAGGCTAAATGTGCCTGGATGCTGCACAGTAAATATTTCAATATGCTTCCATTAAAAAAATAAGCCAATCCAAGTTACAGAAGTTCAATTTTATTTTTTACATGGTTAAAAATATGGACATTAAATAATATGTTCTGAAAATAAGTTATTTTAAGTCATTTCTTCCATTAAAACTATATAATTGATTCATTCTATAAATACATAAATCTTCAAATCATTTCCAGCTTACTGCTTGCTCCCTTCAAATTTAAAATAATTGTTTTTATTGTTGCTCAAAAACGATACCTTCTGACATTTCCATCTTTTTCAATCTTAAAAGATTTTAATGTTATACATGTATCCATTTTTTGAAAATCTTAGTTAGTTTTATTATAAAATAAGATAAGACAACTGAACTTTTGTATCAAAAAAATTCTAAATTTATAGGCAATTGTTATTAATTTAGAACAATTTAATAAGGGTTTCTTGTTTTCTCCTGTGTGGGCTTGGTGGTGTGACCTTTCCCCGGCTGCTGAACTGTTCTGTTCTGAAATAAAGTGAACTGACCAGCGCGTCCAGCGATTCTCGTTGGCGTTGCGGTGTTTTGTTTATTTTGAGGCTATAATTTAAGCGGGTAATTGCACGCTGGCGGCCAGAATTTCTAACTAAACTGCAAATTAGCAGCCAATTCCCAGGCCGATTAATAACCATAATTATTGGCTCAAGCGCTGACGAGCGAACGTCTCGAGTGGAGACTCTCAACTCGGTCTCGATTTCCTCGCGAGGATGAGGATCTCGATGCGGAGGCTGCTGCCCTGCCTGCAAATTGCACTTCGTTGGCCAACCAAGGCTCCAAGCCGATTCAGCTGGCTCAATTGCCAATTCGTGATACACCCAGGCGCATATGGGGTGCACTTAAAGAAAAATTATAAACTAAAATTAAAATATCTTTACTCAAAATCACTTTAAATGGGATTATATGCTCAAGGTTACGATGGAGATAAAACACCTATACCTATCTAATATTTAAAAAATTAATGTAATATTTTTAGAAGTTGTTTATTTAAGAGTAAAAAAGTTACTTCTTATCATTAACTTGTTTACCCTTTAGTTTGATAAACATTCGTTCTTAAAAAGATATTTTTATTAGAACTTAACGTTATTTTTAAACTAGAAATAGAACAGAATATAGAATATTTAAATAAAATAATATAATAAATTTAAAATATTCTGTTATTCAAATTAAAAAAAAAATTATTTTTTATTTATTCCTATTTATTACTCGAAGTTTAAAAATAAAGAATCTATGGCTTACTAAGTAGTTGCTACCATTTTTTGGAACGCATAAATCGAATTTATAAAATGTTTTTTTAGTGCATGAATCCCGAACTCTGTCTCCATTTCAGTGTCGCTCCTTAACTTCCCCTCGCCATCCGGCAGCAATTTAAATAGTGAGCGCCTGGCTTAATTACATAAAACAGGCAACACGAGAGGCAGCCAAGTTTGGCTGGGGATATATGTATATGCCCTAGCCGGCGGCGCAGTCGTCGAGTCTGGAGCTTGAGCTCGGTCCAGGATCTGGACCTGAGCCACTTTTGATGGACATGTGTCTAATGAACCGGCCTAATTAATGTGCATAGCTGACGCTCGAGTCTCTTCCCTTTTGGCCATGCAAATGGCCTGCAAAAAAGGCATTCTGAGAGTTGGTGGTGAGTGTTGAAAGCCTTGAGTGGTCAAATTCGGATGGGTCAACAAATTACTGGCATTAAACTAAAGCAGGCCGGACAAATTAATAAATGTCGATACCCAATTAAACTGTCCGAATATAATGCACGCTATAAATTGTGGGGAAGGAAACCCAGAACGAATAGAGACATCCACTATCCAATTATCGATGCGAATGATTAACTGCGCGAGGTCAACGGCAAAGAAATGCAGTATCGAAAATAATTGCAGAGTCATCGAGCAGAAGCACTACAAAATAGGGGAACTAGTGGGATTCTGTAGTATGTGCATAGGTTCCAGCAAACAGAACACAACCGAAGAAAATCATAAATCAAACAGAAGTTTGAGATGTAACGGTCATTACTCATCGTCGATCGAAAACTGCCTGGCTATCGATTGTTCAAAACAAAAACTGCATAGCTATCGATTGTTTCATGAAATATTCTGGTATTTTCAGTATATTTTTTTGAGTACATTTTTTTTTTTTAAATTGAACAAAAATTACATTTAGATCCCGCCGCTTAAATAAAAAGTACATTCATCAAAGTTGTATTATTATTTAAATATAGAAATGCAAATTGTAATAAGTCCCTATTTTCCTCTATTTTTGTATTTTTGTACAGGCATTTATAGAGAAGTTTTAGCATTGTTTAGCATTTAAATTTTATAACGGCACCGATTCGAAGTGCACAAATTTTTTTTAACAACGGTCTATACAAAAATCAGGATTCACTTACATTTTAGAATAACCGCGCCTTTTGCAATAACTGTTTTGCAGTGCCGTAGCAGGCGGCTTTCGAAGTTCTAACACCTTTCCAGTGTGTACACATATAAAACGCAGACCAGGGCTGCTTGATAATCAGCTGATTGTTGAGTCAGTTCTGAAAAATACTACCAAATTGAGCTGGAACAAGACTGTTAAACAAGAAGAATGGCGAGTGAAATGTCCTATCGCATGAGGGCGATCAAGTGTCCAACGGACGAGCTGTCACTAACGAACAAGGCCATTGTGAACGTATCCGATTTTACGGAGGAGGTCAAGTGAGTGTTGTTTTTTTCACTTGCTACGTGTGCAAATTTCCCGACATTTATTGTTGCGTTCTCTAATTAATCCCTTTGTCAACGCCCCCAGATATGTGGAAATATCGCCGGGACCGGGACTGCGCTACGTCTTTGCGCTGGAGAAGATTAGCGAGGCGGAACTGCCCGCCGGCCACGTCGGTTTCTCTTTCGTCCATCGAAAGTGGGTCTCGCTCTCAATCAACCAGGAAATAGACGTACGACCCTACCGATTCGACGCCAGCGCCGATATCATAACACTCGTGTCCTTCGAGACGGACTTCCTGCAGAAGAAGACCATCACGCAGGAGCCCTACGACTCGGACGAGATGGCCAAGGAGTTCCTCATGCAGTTCTCCGGAATGCCCCTGACCGTCGGGCAAACGCTGGTCTTTCAGGTTCGATTCCACCGATGATAAGATTGATAGGAAGACATTCAGATTGAGTGCTACCCCTTAGGGGAAATCTAAACAGAAAGTCCTTTTCCATATCAAAAGTATAAAGACCATCTTAAGAGAAGGGTCTTCCGATTTTATTCATTTGAGTGAAATCTACCAAATCCTTCGGTTAGAATCTTCCGATTTAGTAGTATTTTAAATGTTGTAGCTTAGTAACCTTCAAAAATAATCAACCAAATAACTTAAGGCAGTATAGGGAAATAGTGCTCAGATCTTAAATAATAATAAACGAATAATAAATAATCTAGAAGAAAGAAAAGTAAACTGCGCAAAGGATGATCACATTTTTTTATAAAGATTATGAGGTAAAATAACGAAATAGGTTGAGTGAATGCTGATTCATAAAATAGATGATTCAATTATCTGGTTTGCATCATCTGCCAAATATGTATTCATCTGATAGACCGGATTTATAATGTGTACACTGTTCAATTTCTTTCATTGAATTTTTGGTATGTCTTTTATTAAGAGAAAACATTATTTTAGCGTCATTCCCTTTAGGGTTTTTCCCTAAGAGTCCTTATTGGTTCATTCTTATATTAAATCCTTTATGGAATCCTATGCAATTTTTCATTTTTAAAGTTTCTCTCGTGACTAATAAACATGCCTTCTTCCTTTCAGTTCAAAGACAAGAAGTTCCTGGGCCTCGCTGTGAAAACGCTGGAGGCAGTGGATCCCCGGACGGTGGGAGATGCTCAGCCAAAGACCCGTAACGTGCGTTTCGGTCGCATTCTTGGAAACACAGTGGTGCAGTTCGAGAAGGCCGAAAACTCAGTGCTGAATCTGCAGGGTCGATCCAAGGGCAAAATTGTGCGCCAGTCGATCATTAATCCGGATTGGGACTTTGGTAAGATGGGCATTGGTGGCCTGGACAAGGAGTTCAATGCGATTTTCCGACGCGCGTTTGCGTCGCGCGTTTTTCCGCCGGAACTGGTCGAGCAGCTGGGCATCAAGCACGTGAAGGGCATCCTTTTGTACGGACCACCTGGCACGGGTAAAACCTTGATGGCCCGCCAAATAGGAACCATGCTGAATGCCCGCGAACCAAAGATTGTAAATGGTCCACAGATCCTGGACAAATATGTGGGCGAGTCAGAGGCCAACATCCGACGATTATTCGCCGAAGCCGAGGAGGAGGAGAAGCGCTTGGGACCGAACAGTGGGCTGCACATCATTATCTTCGACGAGATCGATGCCATTTGCAAGGCTCGAGGTTCGGTGGCCGGCAACAGTGGTGTCCACGACACGGTCGTCAATCAACTGCTGGCCAAGATTGACGGCGTGGAACAGTTGAACAATATCCTGGTGATAGGAATGACCAACAGGCGGGACATGATCGATGAGGCCCTGCTGCGTCCTGGCCGCTTGGAAGTTCAAATGGAGATCAGCTTACCCAATGAGCAGGGACGCGTCCAAATCCTCAACATCCACACAAAACGAATGCGGGACTTCAACAAAATAGCCAGTGATGTGGATAACAATGAGATAGCGGCCAGGACAAAGAACTTCAGTGGTGCAGAGCTGGAGGGATTAGTTAGAGCGGCTCAATCAACGGCCATGAACCGACTAATCAAGGCAGATTCCAAGGTAGGCTGCTTTTAATTTTACAAATACTGTTAAAAAACGATTAGAATTCTAAAAAGTTCGTCGAGGTTTTCAGTTATATTTTATTCTTTTAACAAATCAAATCGTTATTTAAATTGAAGAAAATATTTATTGGTTTGTTCAAATCGGTTTATTTATTAAGGTTCAATTATTAATTTCAGTTTTGTCTTCTTCGTTACGGTTTCGTTTTTCGTGTGTGAATAAATTCGGGTGTGGTAATGTATCGAGAAAAAAAGCGGTTACTCAACGTACCAATAAAAAAGTGTTATTTTCTAATAAGCATATAAAACAATTTAATATATTCTATATAGTAAATGTCGACACAATATATTGATAAACTTTTTGAAACTTAGGTACACGTGGATCCTGAGGCTATGGAAAAATTGCGAGTGACCCGTGCCGATTTCATCCACGCTTTGGACAACGACATCAAGCCCGCTTTTGGAGCCGCCCAGGAAATGTTGGAGAATCTGCTGTCGCGCGGAATCATCAACTGGGGTGCACCCGTGAGTGAGATACTGGAGGATGGCATGCTATCTGTGCAGCAGGCGAAGGCCACCGAGGGCTCCGGACTGGTGTCCGTTCTCATCGAGGGAGCTCCCAACTCCGGCAAATCAGCGCTGGCGGCCAATCTGGCCAAGATGAGCGATTTCCCGTTTGTCAAGGTTTGTTCCCCGGAGGATATGGTGGGTTTTACGGAGTCCGCCAAGTGCCTGCACATCCGCAAGATCTTCGACGACGCCTACCGCTCCACGTTGAGCTGCATTGTGGTGGACAATGTGGAGAGGTTGCTGGACTACGGTCCGATTGGGCCCAGGTACTCCAATCTCACGTTGCAGGCGCTTTTGGTGCTGCTGAAAAAGCAGCCGCCCAAGGGCCGCAAGCTCCTCATCCTGTGCACCACCAGCCGGCGAGATGTTCTCGAAGAGATGGAAATGCTGCCGGCTTTTACATCCGTTCTGCATGTGTCCAATCTCTCAACGGCCGAGCATGTCCTCGCCGTGCTGGATGACTCAGATTTTTTCAGTCCCGAGGAGTTGCAGAACATAGCAAGGAATATGGCCGGCAAGCGGGTGTGCATCGGCATCAAGAAGTTGCTGGCCCTCATCGACATGATCCGGCAATCGGAGCCCCACCAACGCGTTATCAAGTTCCTCAGCAAAATGGAGGAGGAGGGCGGTCTGGATCTGGTGGCCAGGACACACTAGCTACCGCCCATTGCCGAGCTTCGGTTGTCCGTTGTGGAGCTAAACGACGCCTTTTAACTTCTTTACATTCCATATTCAATCATCTAGGGTGGGTCGATTTGATTGATAATAAAGTTCAGGGGCTGATATTTAATATAAAATGATTTCGAAACTATTCAACTTTTTATTCGAATATATTTTTTGCGGGAATCAGACTATATAAAGTTATATACTCGCAGTTTTTTTCAAATTGATTGGTTTCAAACTTATTTTACTGAATAAATTGTTCACGGAAATTATGTATGAAACCAAATAATTTGATTTCTACAAAAGTTTTAAATTTTAGTAAGACTGATTCTATAAAAAATGTAACACGAAATTTATAAAAACCACACAAAAGAATTCTTATTCTAATAGTTTGTGATAAAAATGTAAAATGTGTTGCAATTCTCCTCTCTTCTATATTATATATAACTTTTTTTGTTATAACAACAAATCGACCCACCGTAGTTCACTTTTATGAATATAAATTTTCAGTTTTGAAAATGTAGTCAATAGGATGGTCGGAAACCCGTCATCACTCCTCGGTGTAAGCAGCAAGGTATTTTGAACTATAATAAAGCGCACAACTTATCGGTAACTAAAGACCAAAATGTGAGATATAATAATTTGTATACCCTTGCAGAATACTATAATACTTTTAGTCAAAAGTTTGAAACGCCGTGAAGGAGACTTTTCCTAATCACCAGGAGAGTCGATCTTGCCATGTCCGTCTGACCGACTAAATGAACAAAAATTCGTAGTATTTAATCATATACGAAACGTTTTATATAAATAGGACGCAAAATTGAAAAAGCTTCCATGTTTTGCTGCAAGGGTAAACCAACGAACTTTTAAAACTCGCATAAGAGGTTAAGAATCCATTCAGAATATTCACTATAATACTGAAATAGATACGCCCAGACCTACATTAACCATTTTGTACATTTATTGTATTGTACATGATGTATTTTATAGAGTTTTATGAAGAATATTGGATTTATCATGCTACGATTAACCTCATGATTAATAAAAAATTAGATAAATAATTCAATGATAAAGCAAAATTCGAAAACGATGAGAGATAAATCTACAAGCTCTAAAAAAATGAAATCCGTCACCCATCCGTGAGGCGTTAGAGTTCTGATGCCGACATAAAATACAAATTGTAAGCGAACTGTAAAACTGTTTTATTAACAGATCAGTAGCAGACAACCTTTTCTAATTAGGGATATAAGTAATAAATATAGCACTAAACCTTGTTTAAATAAATTGATCGATTATAAAGGGAAAATGGTTTTTCATTACGTCCCTTAATTAGATCAATTTAGGTTTCAGATCTAGCTTTAGAAGGTTTAAATCTCGACTGAGAGCTGTAAAATTCGATCGAAGCTTTTTCGAAAACCGATCCAGCGAAACCATTAAAATATTGTTATTTGTATTTGTCATTTAATGGATAAATTTGGTGTAATGTATAAATTAATGAGAACCATAAAAAATTATATATTAAACCAACTATTTACAAATAAATGGATTTTACCAAAAAGTTTTACCAATATTTTGACTCACAAAATACTTTTATTTGCATTATAAAAACCAGATAGTTTACTACTCCAGCAAAAATCAATAGAAAAAGTTCGTTGGAAACATCGAAAAGAAGCAAAGGACGAACTCTTAACTTCCTAAGGTTTAGATGTGTCACAAATACTTCCACCTATAGACAAAAATAGTGTCATTAGTGGCAAAGAACACAATATATTCTCTTACCGTTTGGTTCCATTCTTTCTGTTCAGCGGCAAATAAAAGCTCAATAGTGAGATCCTGAATGTATCTAAACCGATTAATTGATTCTTGAATAACGAAACATAAAATAAGCACTTCAAGAAGAAATTTGAAGATAAATAACCATAGCAAGAAGTTTATTAACTTCGATTCAATAATCGATTGGTAAGAGATCGCGACAATTAAAAAGAGTTCGTTGACCAGACTAAAAAAAAGGTGACCATTAGTCAAGTCCTGAAATGATTTGATCACACACGAAATCTCCCTTAAAAGAATCATAGTATTAGTTAACCTTCCCAGGGATTTAGATTTTGGTTTAACCTTAAAGAAATTCATTGGGGTTTGGAGCTCAAAACAAAGAAGTTGCTGCACTTCCGAATAGAGAACACCCAAGCTTAGGTACCAACCAAAACTAATTCGCATCATCATTTTACATGCAATAGATTCATAAGAAATGAAACTCCAATAAAGAAAATACTCAAAACTGGTGAACCAATTAAAAGATAGCAAGTTAAGAAGAATTTCTAGAAGAGGACAGACGATAAATAAGAGGACCAGTACTAATTGTCGTCCGCCCCCAAATCCAACTTCTTTGCTGAAGCTCAAGGACCTCACTCGATGGAAGAGTTCAATATATCGGTTTACCAACTTAACGACCTCTGGGCCATGGAATATCTGCAGTATTATCATCGATAAATAGCTCGGTATCAAAAGTACAAGGTGAAATAAAAACATAATGTAGCCAATCTTTTCCAAAGTCATCATACAAAAAATATGTGTTGAGACAGTGACACAAAGAGGCACAATTCGCAGGATTACGGTGAACCACTTCCACCATTGACAACTCTAGCAGCTTTCCTCCAGGACCATGACTTTATTCCTCGAGTTCTTAAACCGGAAGGATACCAAGCCAATGCATCTGGCGATGAAAAACATGCCGCGCAGAATTTTAGCAGTTACTTTGTGTACACTCATCGTAGGAATAGCGGACTCGACTAATTGGAATTCTCCAATTTATGGGAAACTTAACTTTTCAACGATCTTTGGTGCCATTGCCGCTGACAAATATGGTTAATATGCATCATTACTTAGCTGTCAAACAGTGAAATTCATATAAGGTAAAAATTCCCTTAGGCGACCTCAAAATTATTGTTTTTGCCATTTTTAATTAAATTATTTTCCTTTTTAATTAAAGAGTTGACATTTTCCAGACTTGCTGAGCAGACTACAGTGTAAACAAAATATAAACACAAAAAAAAAACAAAATAAACTTCGAAACTAAAATAGTGATACATTATTATAATTTTCTTAATAGGATGAGTAATAACATAATAACTTCAAACTTCGATGGTATTTTAATACAAATTTTGAAGCTATCATTTATACCCATGAGAATAAGTTTTAAACTTTCTCGGCTTAGTCCTAGTGAGACTCCTAGTGAAAATTGTAATATATTTTACAATTTTCTTCCTTTTTTTTATTCTTGAACTAATTTTGGTAAACGCAAGAAATCGACCCAACCTACTTCACTTTTATGAATATACATTTTTTAGGTTATAGCTTAAGAAGGTTTACATCTCGAATGGGAGTTATGAAATTCGAACGAACTTTTTCGAAAACCAATCCAGTGAAACCAAAAAAAAATCAAACAAAATTATACATTTAAACAAATATTTACAAATAAATGGATTTTACCAAACAGTTGTGACAATCTCTGGCCGCACAGATAATCCGTACACATCATCAAAATTATCATCCTATGTGTATTACCCTATATGTTATAATCATGAAGTACAAGTTCCAAATTATACATTTATTTAAAATCGAAGCTAAAATGGTTATACAAATTTGCCTAAGCAATCGTGATACAGTGCGTATATATAGTTTTTAGTTTTTTAAGAAAATGTTAATAAATCAAAACAACTGAAATTACTCCATGCGTTGCTGCATAACTATTTGTATTATAAGAACCATGTAGTTCACTACTCCAGCAAAAATAGAAAGAAAAAGTTCGTTGGAGACATCGAAAAGATGCAAAGGACGAACCCTTAACTGGTTGAGGTTTAGATGTGTCACGAATACTTCAACCTATGGCCAAAAATAGTGTCATTAGTGGCAAAGAACACAATATTTTCTCTTACCGTTTGGTTCCAATCCTTTAGGTCGGCGGCCAAGAAAAGCTCCATAGTGAGATCCTGAATGCATCTAAACTGATTAACCGATTCTTGAATAACGAAACATATAATGAGCACATCTAGAATAATTCTGACCAAGGCCAGCCACTGCCAAAAGTTTATAGACTTCGATTCGATAATCGTGTGGTTTGAGATCGGGACTATTAAAAGGAGTTCGGTGGCCAGACTTAAAAATAGGTGAACATTAGTGAAGTTTTGCATTGATTTAATCACATACGAAATCTCTCTAATAAGAATCATAGTAGTTTCTAACCTTCTAAGGGTTTCAGATATTGGTTTAACTCTAAAGATCATTGGGGTTTGGAGCTCTAAATGAAGAAGTTGCTGCACTTCTGCATAGAGAACACCCAAGCTAAGGTACCAACCAAAACTAATTTGCATCATAATTTTACATGCAGAAGCTGTATAAAGAAGACAGCTGAAAGAAACAAAGTACTGTAAACTAGGGACCCCTGGAAAAGATTGAAACAGAACCAGAAGTTCTATGAAATGAAAGCCAATAAAGAAGAGAACAAGTACAAATTCTCGTCCGCCCCCCAATCCAATATCTTTCCTAAAGCTCAACGACCTCACTCGATGGAAGAGTTCAATATATCGGTTTACCAACTTAACGACCTCTGGGCCATGGAATATCTGCAGAATTATCATCGATAAGTAGCTCAGTATCACAAGCACAAGGTGAATTGAAAGCATAAGGTTGCCTACTTTTTTTGTTTTTAGTACCCATAGAAATAACGCTAGCACATGGGCACAGACAGGCACAATTCGCAGGACTATGGTGAACCACTTCCACCATGAACGACTCCAGCGGCTTTCCTCCAGGACCATGACTTTATTCCCCGAGTTCTTAAACCGGAAGGATACCAAGCCAATGCATCTGGCGATGAAAAACATGCCGCGCAGAATTTCAGCCGTTAATTTGGGAACTCTCATCGCAGGAATATCGGACTAGACTATACGGCTTCGAACTACGTTACGATTAATTTAAAAATTCTATTCTCCAAGTTATGGGAAACTTAACTTTTTAACAATCTTTGGTTCCATTTCAGCTGACAAATATTGTTAATATGGATCATAACTCAGCTGTCAAACAGATAAAAGTCATGTAAGGTACAAATTCCCTTTGGCGGACTTCAGAAAATGGTTTTGTCTTTTTTAATTAAATTATTTTCCTTTGTTTTTTTTCCTGACTTGCCAAGCAGACTAAATTAAGCCCAAAAAGGAATTAGTCATAGAAACTAAAATATTCGTGAATTATTAAAAACTTATAAATAGGATGAGTAATAACATAATACTTTTATATTATTTAAATGCAAATTTCGAAGTTATCGGTTTTACACTCGCGAACATTAATTTTAAACTTTCTCGGTTTAGACCTACTGATATAATTTATTTAGTTTTACTTAGTTTTAATGAAATACAATATTAGTTGTATATAATATGTTATGTTAGTATACATTTCATACTATGTTGTATTTCACTTATCCGAGTGATGTATTATAAACTAGTTTTATTGGCTTTAAACTTATTTCACTTAATCAAAGATTCACAATGTGTGAAACCATAAATTGGAATTTTTCCAAGAGTTCCAACTTTTTTTAGACTGAGTCCTCAAAATTGTTAATGGAGTTTATGGTAAAAATTTTAAACATTTCAAAGTTGTCTACGCTTCTTTAATTCTTTAACTTATTATGGTATTCACAAACAAACTCTGGTGCACTCTTATGAATACACATATATTTTAAGTTTCAGATCTTGCTTGAGAGAGTTTAAGTCTCGACTGAGAGTTGTGAAATTCGCTCAAAGCTTTTTCAAAAACCAATCCAACAGACCAGAGCCATACAAAATTATAAATTTAGCAAAATAATTACAAATAGTGGATTTTACCAAAATGTTGTACCAATCTTTTTCCACACAGAATAATTTACGTACTCTTATCTTGATAATCGCACACATCATCAAAATCATAATTCGTTAGCCAAACAGATTTATGTTATTTCCATGAAGTACACATTCCACAATATAAACCAATAATCAACATAAAATGATTACTTATATTTATTGTAAGTCGAAGGTAACAAAGTTTTCAAAAAAGAATTGTTCTTAAGTACAATATAAAATGAAAATTTGCGTAGACAATCGTAAAACTGTGCATATAAATATTTTTTGTCATTTTAGTAAATGTTAATTAGTCAAAACAATTGAAATTACTTCATGCGTTGCTGCATAATTATTTGTATTATAAAAACGAGATAGTTTACTACTCCAGCAAAAATTGAAAGAAAAAGTTCGTTGGAGACATCGAAAAGAAGCAAAGGACGAACTCTTAACTGGTTGAGGTTTAGATGTGTCACGAATACTTCCACCTATGGCCAAAAATAGTGTCATTAGTTGCTTTGGATCACAATAATAAATTCTCTTACCGTTTGGTTCCAATCCTTCAGCTCGGAGGTAAAGAAAAGCTCTAAAGTGAGATCCTGAATGCATCTAAACTGATTAACCGATTCTTGAATAACGAAACATAAAAATAGTACTTCAATCACAATTCTGAATAAGGATAGCCACAGCAAAAAGTTAATGAACTTTGATTCGATAATCGATTGATAAGAGATCGCGACTATTAAAAAGAGTTCGTTGACCGCACTTAAAAGTAGGTGAACATTAGTCAAGTCCTGCAATGATTTAATCACATACGAAATCTCCCTAAAAAGAATAATGGTATTTCTCAACCTTCTTAGGGATCTAGATTTTGGTTTGATTGTAAAGACCTTCATTGGGGATCGGAGCTCGAACCGAAGAACTTGCTGCACTGCGGAATAGAGAACACCCAAGCTAAGGTACCAAACAAAACTAATTCGGATCATCATTTTACATGTAAAAGCTACATAGGAAATGCAGCTCCAATAAAGAAAATACTCCAAACTGGTGAGCCAATTAAAAGATAGCAACTTAAGCAGTATTTCCATGAAATGACAACCGATAAAGAAAATAACCAGTACTAATTCTCGTCCACCCCAAAAATTAATTTCTTTTCTCAAGTTCAAGGACCTTACTCGTTGGTAGAGTTCAATATATCGGTTTACCAACTTTACAACCTTTGGGCCATGGAATATCTGGAGAATAATCATCGATAAGTAGCTTGGTATCAGAAGCAAAAGGTGAATTGAAAACATAATGTTTCCTATCTTTCTCGTATTCATCATAAGTATAAAGGATGTTACGACAGTGACACAGAGAGGCACAAGTCGCAGGACTACGGTGACCCACTTCCACCACGAACAACTCCAGCAGCTTTCCTCCAGGACCATGTCGTTATTCCTGGACTTCTTAAACCGAAAGGACACCAAGCCGATGCATCTGGCGAAGAAAAACATGCCGCACAGAATTTTATCCGTTACTTTAGGTGCACTCATCGTAGGAATATCGGACTCGACCGTTTGACTTTGAACTACTTTTGGATTTAATAAGAATTTCAATGCTTCGATATATTGAAAACTTAACTTTTGAACGATCTTTGGTTCCATTGCCACTGACAAATGTGGTTTATGTGCATCATTACTCAGCTGT